ACCTACTGAAGGTGAATTTTTCTACGATCAGCTGGCAATCGTAATTAATTTGCGATTGTGCAGGGCCGGCATCAAAACTGTTATAATTTTATAATTTTTTATTTTGTTTCAAAAGTCAAAAGTGTTATAACATTTTATGCTACAAATGTCCGTAGGAATCCGTGGTATATATATTAATTATTATAACTGGGACACCCATATACGTAGCCGATCCCTCTGATTTAAGTAAATGAATTACCTACCTATCTTTTATGTTTACAAAATCAAGTTTGAACGGTTAGGTATACACGCATAATTAAATAAAACATCAACCCCTTTTTCGTCGAAACTCCTTCAATATTCTCCTCGAAACTGCGCCGCGTACCAGTTTGAAATATTTATTTTACGTAGGATTTGTAAATATTTGTCTCCTTCTACATTTTGCCCATTGGGGAAAGTCAATACTTGTGCAAGCTGGAGACGATCTGCTATAAAGACAATTTTCTTCAAGGATAAAGAGAGAATCACATAGTTGTATATGTGTTTAAACTACCTATTCGTACACCGATTAAATAGAAAAATAAACAACAATAAGTAACATTCAATATAGCACATTCTACGTTACGACCAGGCGATATAGAACGTAGGCCTAATACCAATATTTTGAAGATTAGAAGAAAATAAGAAACTAATAATACGTAGTAACGAAGAAACACGAAGCAGTTGCGAATTCCGCAAATGCGCCGTAAGTGTAATAAATATAATTTTATGTTTCCATAGTATTCACGTTCTTCATATAAAAAAGCAGTTAAGGTGAGGGTTTATTTTTAAAACTTTGCTGCCGCCATACTCTTTCAGAGGACCCATATCGCTTCATACTTCGCGTAATAATATGATGGACCTCCATAAAAGTTGATCAACATCTCATGAATATTTTTAACGTATTATATATTTAAAAGATGTACACCAATTCCCCTTTTTCGCATTTTTATCCTAGATGTAGGAATGTTTAATAAATTTCTCTTTTTTTAAGTGGTTGGGAAAGTCAAAAACACTATCAGTCAACATGTTGCATCATCATTATAGGGTCGTCGGTTCTAAGACTGGTTTCTCTTATCCTGAGCTAATTGTAGTATTTCTCTAAAGCTGAAACATTTCATATCCTTATTACTGACTTGCATGACACCCTCTGTTCTCCTACTCTTTCTAATGCTTCCTCATTTGTAATATTTTCTATCTACCATCAGGGTTTCCTATCTTGAGAAAATCTTTGCATTTCCCTAAACATCCCACATCCTTAACTATTTGTGAACAGTAATCTGATCCAGGTTGACCTTTATCCTTCTTAACTGCTATTTCCGATTCTAATGTGTTTCTAACTAGCCCTTCATGTCTGAGAAATTGACCTTCCTATTGATCTAGCCTACATTTCATTGATTTCCATCCTACCGTCCGTATAACCTCCTCATTCGTAATATTCTCTACCCATAGTATCCTTATCATTCGCATGTAACACCACATTTCGAACGCTTCTAACCTTTTTTTTTCGCAGCGCCTACCGTCTATGTTTCGCACCCGTACAGCACCGCGCTCCGAAGACACCTTTAGCAATCTTTTCCAAATTTCTAAATTAACCCTTCGAGAACGTGGAAGTAACTTTCTTTTTGTTAAAGGCGACTAGATCCTGCGTTATCCTCTGCTTTATATCCTGACTTATTAATCCTTCGAGAACGTGGAAGTGACTTTCTTTTTGTTAAAGGCGACTCCACCCTGCGTTATCCTCTGCTTTATATCCTGACTTATTAATCCTTCGAGAACGTGGAAGTGACTTTCTTTTTGTTAAAGGCGACTAGACCCTGCGTTATCCTCTGCTTGATATCCTGACTTATCTGACTTTCTGGATGCCTAAAATCAGTCACTTCTCCAAATCTTTCGTCTCCTATCTTTATAATCGCTCTTTCCCTACTTTTTCTTCCCTTCCATACCAGTTTTTTCGCTTCCATTTTATTTAAAACTATCTCTAACTCCTCCTTGCTAGAATCTAATACTGCTATATCATCTGCAAATCTGACCATACTAATCTTTTGCCCCTGTACATCTATCCCTACACTTATACTGTCTTTAATGATGTTGCTTGTGTCTTCGATGTATAAATTAAAAAATGGCGGTAACAGTGTACATCCCTGTTTGATCCTCTTGGCCTCTACTTGATATAAATTAACAAATTTGACATTAAATAAACCTCTGCTTTTACGACCGGCGTCTTCAGTACAATTATTATTTGTTTTCGAGCTTTCTGGCCGTTGTCAAGAAATAATTTCCAAAGACAACGACTAGGAAGCTCGAACAAAAATAATAATATGCGACAACGTTTCGCCAAACAGTAACATCCTCAGGAGATATTTAACAATTTCTAGAAGAGCGACAACATGGCCAACATCATCCATTTTGCGACCCTATTTTTGGTATTCTGTACTACATTTGCCCAAGACAACTACCGATTAAGTACCACAGTCCGTCCATCTCACTACGAAGTCGAATTAACCCTTTTTCCAGGATTCGGCCCGAGCGCGTCCTTTTCAGGAAGTGTACAAATTACTTTGTCCACTTCTGCGTCAGTTTCAGAGTTTGAAGTTCAATCTAGTAGTTTAACTTACAGCAATATACATCTTTACGATGTCGCCGATGCCACGCAGGCTAATTTGACAGACAGTTATAGCGAAAATGCAACTTATGATAAACTGACAATTAGAACATCAACCGATTTGGCGGTTGGAAGAACCTACATCCTTTCAGCCACTTATACTGGAATATTGCACGATGACATGAACGGATTTTACAGAAGTTCTTATAGAGATACCAACAGAACTACAAGGTATGTCACATGAACGTACGTGGCCACAATCTAACTCTGTTACCAGACAATAGCAAAATTTTTTCTGGTACCAAATGTAACCCTCAAAGTGAATTCAGCACAAATCACTTGTATAGTTAGTTTAGAATGACATGACCTACAGATGAACGAGAAATAAATCGCTATTTCGATTAGCGGTAAAATCAACTAACAAAATGATTTATTGCCGCTGCATTTCCACCCTAAACGCTTACAAATACTAGTTATACAACAATAGGTCAGACCATATTTTACACAACAATTTCACTGGTTTTTAGATGGCTTGCAACAACTCAGTTCCAACCCACCTATGCTCGAAGAGCTTTACCATGTTTCGACGAACCAAGTTTCAAAGCTACTTTCAATATATCCATTATTCATCCACAAGATGTCCATGCCATCGGTAATACGCCCATCATCTCTTCAGAAACGTAAGAAAAACGATATCTTAGGGATACAACATATTTACTCATCACTTTTGTAAATTGCATTAGATATGACCCAACTTTGGGACTAAATAAAACAACATTCCAACAAACTCCGATAATGTCCACGTATCTAGTCGCATTCGTTGTATCCGATTTTACCGGTTTAACCAACACTTCGGTCAATTATGGGGTATATGCTGCACCCCATCTCAGTAACACTCTCCAATATGCGTTTGATGTTGGCCCAAGGCTACTTACAGAAATGGGGAACTTTATAAACTACCCATATCTAAACTCTGGAATTGGTAAACTGGATCAGGTTGCCATTCCCGATTTTTCAGCGGGAGCTATGGAAAATTGGGGACTTATTACTTATAGGTATCTAATAAGTCCATTTTTATCATTGCTAGTTGTATTTCTCTATATTTTTATTATTTAAATCCAAGGGAGAGTCGATTGCTGTTTGACCAGCAAGAGTCAACATTTTATAGCAGGAAAAGTATCGCATCAGTTATTATGCACGAAATTGCTCACATGTGGTTTGGAGATTTGGTAACATGTGATTGGTGGTCATATACCTGGCTGAATGAAGGATTCGCAAGATATTTTCAATACTTTGGAACGGCATGGGTGAGTTAATTATAGAGATACCTTTACAACTTTATTCAAAATACAAATAAGCAATGACAAATTCCTACAACTGTTGTTGACTCAAATTAAGTTATCCAATAACAAAGCATCTTCTAAATCCCATTTCAGTATAGAAACCAAAATTGTCCACCTCTTTACTTTATAAACTCTACATGAACCATTAAGTAGCTACAAAATTTTATTAATACGCAATCAAAGAATAAAGAAGCGTATAATTTATTTTAAAAAAGATCTGTTTTGTATTAGGTTGAAACCGAAATGGAATTAGATAAACAGTTTGTTGTGGAACAATTACAAGCCGTTTTTGCAAGTGATGCATCAACTTCTTCTGCAGCACTTAACTCGGGTTGTTCTTCACCAGGGCAAATCAGCGGTAAATTCGGCACAATCAGTTACAATAAAGGTAACAAACAGTTTTACTCTAAATTATTATATAGTCAAACTGTAACGAATTCTAGGTAGCTCTATCATTAGAATGGTAAGGTACTTTCTGGGATATAACAACTGGAGGTCAGGCCTCATAGACTATATATCAGCGCGGTAAGTAAAACATTTTACTTAAATGTCAAGCATAAATAATCATTTTCTTTTGTTACAATTTTAGCCAATTTTCTACAGGAATCCCCGATCAACTGTATTCTGCGTGGTCAAATTACGCTCAATCGTTGCCTTCAGGATTATCCTTGTCGACAATTTTAAGAAGCTGGACTGACGTAGGAGGTTTTCCTCTAGTAAAAGTATCATTATCTGGTAACGACGCAGTCATCACGCAGGTAGATTTTCTTTCAACTAACTTTCTGGTGTGACATATGACAACTAAGGTCTTTAATCTTTTAGCAACAATTTCTACTAAATTCTTCGCAATCATCGAACAGAGAATGGTACGTACCCCTTACCTATACCACCTCCCACGAACGGAATTTCGACAATACAACAGCGTCTTATTGGTTGAGGCCGGGACAAAACGTAACAATTCCCAATATCCTTCACGGTGGATCTGGATGGGTGCTTCTAAATCTTCAGCAAATTGGTAACTGAACATTAAGTTCTTGGGAAGTGATCTGTCGAAACTGTCGCAATTTCAAACTTGTTTGCTCCCATCAGCACGCCGTAATCAGTTTCGACAGAACACAAACCAAACCACTTGTTACAGTTAAAATGCAGCCACACAATTTTCACCTCCATCCCCTGCGTTTCCACCCTTCTAATCCTACTTAAAATCACACATTTAGTGTTTTATATGATCTTTGATCTTCCTACTACAAAAATTGTAGCTTCAGTTATGATTTATATATTGAAGATTGTCTATTATGAAATAACTTGTGGTTAAGGAAATTTTACATTATTTTTCCAACATACTCAAACAAATCTATAACTGGAACCTTTCACTATTGCAATCCGAATCAAACCAATGGCTTTTTTGGGTAACTATTATAACAGTGTCTCGTTACTTTTAAACATCCCACATCCCTAAGTAAGAGTGCTTTTATTAAATTTTCATAACCACTAACTTATTTTGTTCAGGAAACTAATAATAGTTAACAATAAGGTCATTTTTTGAAAAAAGTCATAGGTCATTTTAAACGATCTTTTTCACTATTTAGTTTATTGGTAGTAATAATGTTGGAGTAACGTTAATTGGTTAATATATTAGACACTAATCGTCTGCAGGATATTATCGAGTGACGTACGATGACGAATTATGGTCCCAATTAGCAAGAGGGCTACAGGAAGACAATTTCGACGGCATCCCAGATTTAAACAGAGCCCAAATAGTAGACGACGTTTTAACGTTAGCAAGAGCCAGGCAGCTTTCTTATTTAGATGCCTTCAATACTATTTCGTTCCTTGCAAAGGATACCAGCTATTATCCCTGGTACTCTGCATTCACATCATTTTCATATTTGAGACGAAGGTACCAAACGCATGCTACGCTTGGATCACTATTTAGGGTATGTAATATCATTAAAAAAAATTTAATAATAAATGTGTAAAAACAATAAACCTTCGATTATCCCATGATTATGTGATGTTCCTTTTTGGGTCAATAGAAAACAACAGACTGCATCTTCGGCTCGTCACTGATTTTTACAGACTACCAATGGCGTGCTGATGAGGTCTAAATATTATTTCACGTGTAGTACTTAGTTTGCTTAAATTCCTGACCAAAAACTTAATTCGTTCTTATTGTTTCAAATACTTCAGGTATTAATATCAAGAAATTGTTGAACATAAACCTGATGTTCTTTATTGTTTTTGTATTTTCTTAGTACCTACGTATGCTACGCAAACAAAATTATTTTCATTTTTATTTTTAAAGGCCCATCTGTTGGAAGTAATGGATTCCGTTTACAACAGCGTTTCATTCGCAAGAAACTCTTCAGAATCATATATAGAAGTTCAGAAGAAAGAACTCGCATTGCAGTGGGCTTGCAATTTAGGACACACTGAATGTATACAAAGAGCGCAAGACTTATACAGATCCTTAAGGAACAACAACAGAGCGTAAGTATTACTCAAACCACATCACCCTTGTATCACCTTCTTGAGATACTAAGAAGATTGAGGGGTACTCATCGGGATAAAATCATGAAAAAGAAAAGGGCACAGGTATGGATGAAAAAGATTATAGAGAAATTTTTAACTTCCAATTTAACTGTTTCCGAATATCAAATTTCGAGAGTAAATAGAACCCTTCATGTTCCTTATAATTCTTGAAATTCTCCTACTACAATGTAGTGTCCCGATTGGAGTTATTTCTCCAAAGTTTCGCTAACAATTGTAGCAAACATCCTCATCTATTTAACCAAACAATAATCCTTAAAAGTATCTGACGAAGTTTCTGGCAATTCTTTGGAAAACGAATTCAACCCAGACAACATCTAGGAAAAATGATTCGAAAGGCCTTGTCATCAAGTCCGACAAATAATTTCATCCAATCGTGAAAGTCTAACCATTTTTTCGTCGTCAATTTTACAGAGTCAACCCGGACATTAGAAGTGTTGTATACTGTACAGCTTTGAGATATTCTAATGATTCTTCCGACTGGTACTTCTTATGGAATAAACTAACGCAAGAAACTCTCGCTACGGAAATCAGTCTGATCATAACTGCTTTGGGATGTTCAAGGAATGAAACTTTACTCGATGAGTGAGTAATTTCCAGAGCATAACAAATATAATTCCAATTGTTAATTAAACGTTTATTTTTAGGTACATGACCCGCGCTTTAGACTCTTCAGCTGGTTTAATACGAAGACAAGATATTACTTCAGTGTTTTCATCAGTTTATGGAAACAATCCCGAAGGAATCGAAATCGCCTTAAATTACGTACAGAATAATTATCAATCGTTCATTGATTAGTAAGTCTATTCTAAGAAATTGCTGATACTTGTTTAATGTAGAGACTATTGGTAATATTTAATTGTGATCATTTTTCTGAGCTTTCGGTAGTAATCTATGAATCCAGGATCCATATAACTCCGGTCCAATCACCACCGAAGTAGGTGTCGTTCGCTAATCATCATCATCATCATCATCATAAGGTCGTCAGTCCTAAGACTGGTTGGACACTTACCTTCAGTCTTTCCTATCCTGAGCTAAACTTCGCATTTCCCTAAAACTAGAACAGCCCACATCCTTAACTATTTGCGAACAGTAATCTAATCTAGGTCTACCTCTACCCCTCCTAACTCCTGTTTCTGCCTCTAATATGTCTCTGACTAGACCTTCATGCCT